AGGGGCCCTGAAAGCCAGGAAGAGTTTAGACTTTAGCCTGAGGGCCATGGGGAGTCACTGAAACATTATAAACACAGACTAACATGTCTTGATTGTACGAAAGAGCCTCTGATACTAGATGGCAAGAGGCAGAGCATAAAAGCAGAAATGGTGAGGGGCTAAGACCACCATAGTAAGAAGAGAGGGGAAGCCTGGGAGAGGAGAGGAGGCAGGACTTGGGAGGGGAAGCCTGGGAGAGGAGAGGAGACCGGACTTGGTGGTGACTCACCACTCGGGGAGAGGTCTGGGGGATGAGTGAGGCTGTGGTGCAATGATAACCACTGCAGGCTCTGAAAGGGGACCGGAACCTAGTTTGAGGTGCCTGTGGTTGTCCCATCCAGCCTATCTGCCTTCTTGGTTTAGTTCACGGTGTGCTTGCGTCGGGAAGGGAAGACTGTGTACCAGCAAGTCCTGTCTGTGGAGCGCCCAAATGTCCTACGCAGCTGGAACTGGGGCCTGTGTGGGTACTTTGCATTCTACCACGCCCTCTATCCCCGAGCCTGGACTGTCTATCAGCTTCCTGGCCAGAATGTCACCCTCACCTGTCGCCAGATCACACCCATCTTGCCCCATGACTACCAGGTGAGGCTCCCACTATGTTTCCTCCATTGTCCTCCCTTCCCTGAGATCTGTCTCTGCTAGAAATTCCGTGATCTGTGAAAGACATCATGCTGGTTTTCCAGGACCTCCGCTCAGTTGGTAAGACAGCCTGCTGGAAATATGGGGAGATGCAAGTGGAAACAAAAGAGAGTCTATTGGGGGCAGGGGGTAAGATTTGAGCCAGGTCTTTGGTGCGGAGGAGTGGGGCCAGGAGGCACTACACTGGGACCATCTGAGTCTGATCTTTTGCTCCCAGGACAGCAGCCTGCCTGTAGGAGTCTTTGTGTGGGATGTGGAAAATGAAGGGGACGAAGCCCTGGATGTGTCCATCATGTTCTCCATGCGGAATGGACTAGGGGGTGGAGATGATGCCCCAGGGGGACTGTGGAATGAGCCCTTCTGTCTGGAGCGTGACGGGGAGACTGTACAGGGGCTGCTGCTGCATCATCCAACCCTTCCAAATCCCTACACCATGGCTGTGGCTGCACGACTCACGGTATGGAGGAGCCCGCCCTAGACCTTAGCCCACACACCCCTACCCTCAGCCTGGCTCCTGAGCCCACCCCATCCCACCAGGGTCTCTTCATTCCCTCATTTCCTGAATCCCATCCTCACTACAGCCCTTAAGGTACTAGAACTTGGAGGTGGGAATTACAACGGGAACGGGAGAGTTAGTCCAAAGCCAGCATACTTTTGGAGCCTCCCCTCAGAGACTTTGGCCCCTTAACAGGCGGATACCACGGTAACCCACATCACAGCCTTTGACCCTGACAGCACTGGGCAGCAGGTGTGGCAAGATCTACTTCAAGATGGACAGCTGGACTCCCCTGCTGGTGATGGGGGGTTTGATAGGGAGGTGGTGGGAAGAGAGGTTGTCCCTGTCTTGGGAGGAGGGGTGAGAGACCTGGTCATTATTCCCATAGTAGGGGTCCTTGGGTCTGAAGAGGATGCCTATGCCAATTTCTCTTGTGCTTCCCTCAGGCCAAAGCACCCCCTCACAGAAAGGAGTAGGCATCGCTGGGGCTGTGTGTGTTACGGGCAAGCTGCCGCCTCGAGGCCAGTGCCGCCTGGAGTTCTCACTGGCTTGGGATATGCCCAGAATCATGTTTGGAGCTAAGGGCCAGGTCTATTACAGGTGAAGGGATCAAGAGAATTCAGGGATCCAAGGTGCCAGAGCTCTGACCTGGAGCCTGAGTTCTCATTCCTCCCCTTTCTTTCCACGCCAGGCGGTACACAAGGTTCTTTGGTCGCGATGGTAATGCAGCTCCCGCCCTTAGCCACTATGCATTGTGCCGGTACACAGACTGGGAAGAGAAGATCTCAGCTTGGCAGAGCCCCGTATTGGACGACAGGTGCCAATGGGGCCTATCTCTTACCTTCTCCTGGGCACTCACACTCCAGATGGGACTCCGTGGTTCAGTCTCCGCCCACCAGTCAGCAGAGTTGGGCTAGGATTCACTTGGTGCCCCCTACTCTGCAGAACTCCAAAATCCTTCCCTTCCTGGGAGGTCCACACTCATTAGAGCATTCCCTCCTCCTGACTCTCCAGATCCTTGCCTGCCTGGTACAAATCTGCGCTGTTCAACGAACTGTACTTCCTGGCTGACGGAGGCACAGTATGGCTGGAGGTTCCAGAGGACTCCCTACCAGAGGAGCTGGCGGGGAGCATGTGCCAGCTCCGCCCCATCCTCCGGGAGTATGGTCGATTTGGCTACCTTGAAGGTACAGGCTGCTGGTGGACTGCAGTAGAGCAGGCCATATCCATGAGGCCAGTCAGTGCCCTACCGGAAGGCAGGATAGTAGGGTTCTGCCTACCTGAGGGGATTGCTTGGAATGATGGGGTTAAGTGACAGTGCCCCATCCCTAGCTCAAGGATAAGCTAGGGAGGGGAACTGAAGGGGGAGCGGGAAATCTGGCAACACTGTGTCTCCCTCCTTCCTCCAGGCCAGGAATATCGCATGTACAATACATACGATGTCCACTTTTATGCTTCCTTCGCTCTCGTCATGCTCTGGCCCAAACTCGAGCTCAGCCTGCAGTATGACATGGGTATGGGTTCCTTGTATTCCCCTTCTGCCCTTTTAGCCCCCACACCCTGAAAATCTTTTTTGGTCCCTGAGATTGTCTCCTTCCTCCTTTCTACCCAACGCATCCACATCCTGCTTACTGGCTCCCCTCTAGCGTCACAAACACAGTTCTGTGCCCTACCTCAAGTCTGCCCGTTCCCTAACCACCCTCTCTACCCCGCATGTCTGCTCCGCCAGCTCTGGCCACACTCAGGGAGGACCTGACACGGCGACAATACCTGATGAGTGGGGTAATGGCACCTGTGAAAAGGAGGAACGTCATCCCCCATGATATTGGGGACCCAGGTAAAAATCCCTCCGGCCCAAAGTTTGCTTCCTTCCCTCAACTTTTGTACCCTCTACCTTACCCACCAATGCAAGTCAGTCAGGTTTCCTCCCTCCCACAGATGATGAGCCATGGCTCCGGATCAATGCGTATGTGGTCCACGATACTGCTGACTGGAAGGACCTAAACCTCAAGTTTGTGCTGCAGGTTTATCGAGACTATTACCTGACGGGTGACCAGAGCTTCCTGAGAGACATGTGGCCTGTGTGTCTGGTAAGACACGCATGTGCAGTGGTTAGTGTGCCAAGGGCATGACCGGTGTTTGGGGAGAACCTAGCTGGCTATTGTTGTCATTCCTTAGTATCTGTCTAGGTCTTCAGGATCTTGGTCTCTCTCTAGGCTGTGATGGAGTCCGAAATGAGGTTTGACAAGGACCAAGATGGACTCATTGAGAATGGAGGCTATGCAGACCAGACCTATGATGGATGGGTCACCACAGGCCCCAGGTTGGAGAGTAGGGATTTCTAGGGTACCTGAGGTGGGGAACTGGGCACCAAAGAATTGTGGGCTCAAGGAATAATGACGCATTGCTTGTTATATTGCATGGGAGAGGCTGGCACGGCCAGTCTGACGCCCAAACCTGTGTCCTTGATCAGTGCTTACTGTGGAGGACTGTGGCTGGCAGCTGTGGCTGTGATGGTTCAGATGGCTGTTCTGTGTGGGGCACAGGATGTCCAGGATAAGTTTTCTTCCATCCTTAGACGAGGCCAAGAAGCCTATGAGAGACTGCTATGGAATGGTGAGTTGGAAGAGCCTAAGGAGACCTAAGGCAGCTATGGGGACACAAGAAGCCTTATTTTGTCTTCCTGTGCTCCAGGCCGCTATTACAACTATGATTGCAGCCCTCCGCCTCAGTCCTGTAGCATCATGTCTGACCAGTGTGCTGGCCAGTGGTTCCTGAGGGCCAGTGGTCTTGGAGAAGGAGACACTGAGGTGAGAAAGACTAGGAGGAGGAGCCAGAGAGAAGGTTGGTTTTTTTCTGGAGGTGGGAAACAAATTTAAGAAACTGTCTCTCTGCCTTTGGCCTTCTAGGTATTTCCTACCCCTCACGTGGTCTGTGCTCTCCAAACTATCTTCGAGTTCAACGTCCGGGCCTTTGCAGGAGGAGCCATGGGGGCTGTGAATGGGATGCAGCCCCATGGTGTCCCTGACAGATCCAGTGTCCAGTCTGATGAAGTCTGGGTGGGTGTGGTCTATGGGCTGGCAGCCACCATGATCCAGGAGGTAATGTACTCCCTTTCCATCTCTCTACCATCCGTACCTTGGGCTGGCAAACCTCCTCAAGCCATCAAACCTCCGTAGGGCCTTACCCGTCTGGAAAGCCCCTCCCTTTTCCCTGGCGGCCTTCCATTTCCTGCCTTCAGGCTTCTGCCTGTGGGTCAAGTTTGTTTCTACCCCAAGCTGGGAACTCCCTGAGGTCAGAGACCTTACTATCTCCATCTGTTCAGCTGAAGTGGCTACTCCGGGATTGCCAAGCAACGTGACTGACATCTCTTCCTACAGGGCCTGACTTGGGAAGGCTTCCAGACAGCTGAAGGCTGCTACCGGACTGTGTGGGAACGCCTGGGCCTGGCCTTCCAGACCCCTGAAGCATACTGCCAGCAGCGGGTATTCCGCTCGCTGGCCTACATGCGGCCACTGAGCATCTGGGCCATGCAGTTGGCCCTGCAGCAGCAGCAGCATAAAAAGGCCTCCAGGCCAATAGCCGAACAGGGCACAGGACTAAGCACAGGGCCTAAACTTGGACCAAAGGAAGCCATGGCAAACCCAAAGTGAGCCCTCTGAACTGTGGGAGGGAGGCTTTAACAGCCCCGCCTCCAGCCTGGCCTTTCCTCTTCACTGCTCACCCCATCAATCTCCTGCAACCCTGAGCCACCAAGACAATCATGCCCCTTCCCTTCTCCCCACCAAATCGCGCCAGTAAAGAGGGGTTGAGGGTGACCCAAGCGTCAGAATCACTTATTTATTTCTTTCCTCACCCAATCCCCTCACTGCATGAAAAGATCAAGGTCAGCTGACTCCCCCAGGCCTATTCATGGGGTGGTAGACATACATGGGTACAAATAAAAGACCCAGAAAGCCAGTTAAGTGTATGTGTTTGAACTCCCAGGCTTCCTGACAGGACAGAGAGGGGCTCAGGCTAGCCCTCTCCCATTCCTTTCATTTGGACACAGACTAGGAACCTCAGGCTCTGGCTTAGGCCCCCTAATATCTTCATATCTATCCTGAATATCTGCCCTGTAAGATAACAGATGGGGGGCTGTCGGCAGGGAGCCATTCCCCTTCTCTTGTGAAGTTTGCATGCAGGGGAAGGACCGGACCTGAGCAGGGGGACTCTGAGGAGGGGACAGGAAGCGGCAACGTCAAGGGAGGCTCAGCACCAGGAGCCTGAGGCATATGGTGGAGCAGGCAGCAAGAGTTGCCGAGAGCCTGGAGCTCCTGGTCTGAGCTGTCCTTTGGTACCTCTGACTGCAGGGCAGGCAGCTCCAGCTGGTGAGGGTCTTCACTGGAGACAGCACGAAGCTGGCGGGACAACACTAAAGAAACAAAGACTCCTCAAGGGCAGGCCGGACTTTCCCCCAGCCCTTCTTTAAGGGCATCCTCAAGCCTCTCACCTCCATGCTCAGCTGGCAGGCTCCCCCTTGTGTCAGAGGAGTACATAGCAGGTACGACGAGGAGACAGAAGGAAAAAAGTAGGACCTGGAGAACAGGAAAAAGCAAATGAAGAAGGGCTCTAGGTTGCACCCCTGTCCCTGCTGCCTAAGAGGATCTCGCCTTCCATCACCATCCTCACCAAGACACAGGTGCTGCTGCTGCTCGTTTTGTTGGATATCTGAATCACCATGGCCTGGAGTCTCCTCAGCTGGTCCAGGAGGGACCTAGAAGAAGAGTGGGAAGAAAGCCATTGAGCAGCCCCAGGCCAGGCACCCTGAGATACAGTGAAACCCTCCTGTTAAGGCCACTCCTCCAGCTGTGCACCAAATTGTCCCTTTTGCTTTTTGTCCTATTTTGCAAATGACCCCTTCCTCTCTGTGGACAAAATGCCTGATCTTCCTCATTAAACACTTTTCTGGGGCATCTGGGTGGCTCAGCTGGTTGAGCGTCCAGCTCTTGGTTTCGGCTCAGGTCATGATCCCGGGGTCATGGGATCAAGTCCCATGTTGGGCTCCGCGCTGAGCATGGAGCCTGCTTAAGATTCTCTCTCCTTCTGCCTCTCTTCCGGGCTCACACTCTCTCTTTCTAAACCAAAAGAACACTTTAGACAAAAAAATAAGCACCTTGCTGTCCTGCCCTGACTGACAAACTCCTTTGCAGATACCTTCAGTGGTTCTATGCTGCCTGATCAGCTCTGCACATAATCCTCACCAGGCAGTCTATGTTCTCGACCTTCTGGCTCAACTTCCCTATGTTAAGGTTCCAGCCAGACTAGACTAGGCTGTGTTCTTTCTGCTTAGATTGCTCCCTACCCCCACCCCAGAATCTTATCTACTATCAAATGTCATCTGCTTCACAAGGTCTTTTTTTTTTTACTCTCTCCTTTCTCTTTTTGGATACTTATCCTTAGTTACTTGGATTTGTTTCCCGTTACTGTGAGCTTCTTGGAATCATCCACTTAAGGCCAAGCACCAGACCTTGCATGCAGGAGCTGCCCAGTGAGAAATCCAGTGTGGAGCCGGGGAAAAAGTATGACAGCATAAAACGGGAGGAAGAAGGGACTAATGTTAGAGAGATGCTTACAAATTCTGTTCCTCTAGGAGCTGTACTTTGTTCTGTAGCTCCAGATTCTGGGCTGTATATTTCAAGACCCTGGAGGAATAAAAGGATATGAGGACATGGCCGCTGCCCCCCCCCGCCCCCTTTGAAACCCAATACTTCCAACTACCTCTGTTCCCAGCCCCTTGGTACCTCTCCCTTTTGTACCTGCTTTCTAAACCTCCCATGTACAGCTGTTTCTTCCTGCGGCTCTCTTGAGCAGACTTTTTATTTCTAATCTTCCTCCGCACTCGTGTCAGAATTTGTTCCTCCATCTAAAAGAAGACAGGGAAGAGAGGTCTCATCAGAGGAACACTGGACCAAGAGGTGGAAGACGACTAAGTTCCATCTTCTTTTCAATGCAGGAATCCCTTCTATAGCTTCCCTGGCCAGCAGGCACTTGGCTTCTGTCTGAACACCTCTGAACCCCGGGGTTAACCCTCACACAAGCCAGACCATTTTTAACAATTTTATTAATTTAAAAAAAGATCTTCCTTATCCTAAGCCAACATCTGCCTCTATAATTTCTGTCGATTGGACTTACCTAGTATCTACCTCCAAGACCATACAGGACAAACAGTGTTTAATGGTCTTAAGGCATTTACTATTTCTTCAAAATTAAAAATCTGTGCAAAAATTTTAACTCATCAGGGGGGAGGAAGAAAAAAAAATTTTAACTCATCACCTCTCAGGATGGACTGCATCTTCTTAATATCCGTCAAACATACGAGTTCAAAACTAGACACTAAAATGTGCTCTAGTGGCATAGAGGAGAACGAGATGGTCACTGCCCTTTTAGAGGCAACAATTCCAGTGATAGAGCCTTCAAACCCCACTCACTTTCTTAGTCATCTCAAACTGGTAACTCTTCTTGTACTTCTAAAAAATTAAAATTCTCAGGGCACCTAGGTGGCTCTGTTAGTTAAGCATCCAACCTTTGTTTTCAGCTCAGGTCATGATCTCATGGTTTGTGAGACAGAGCCCCACTGACAGTGCAGAGCCTACTTGGGATTCTCTCTCTCCCTTTCTCTCTGCCCAGCCCCCCCCAATAAGCAAACTTTAAACAAATTTATTTTAAGAAATTAAAATTCAACCTTTCTATCAACAAACGTTGATTTCACAACAGTACCATGATACTGTGCTTGTAAGCTGACACTCATTGCTTGAAACTTAAAACTTGGGATTTTACAACTATTCTTGCCATACTACTTTGTCCAGCCTTGAATTCTTGAAGAATTCTAAAACTTAATTCTACCATTCAGCTATCAGTGGATTACCCTGAAACCAGTGAAATCTAAGTGTCAGGGCCCCTTGCTTGCACAGTCCCTATACTAATGTTGCACTGATGATTTTAAATTATTCTCTCTTAAAGAGAACACCGATGGGGCGCCTGGGTGGCTTAGTCGGTTGAGTGTCCGACTTTCGCTTGGGTCATGATCTCGCGGTTCGTGGGTTCGAGCCCCGCGTCGGGCTCTGTGCTGACTGCCAGCTCAGAGCCTGGAGCCTGTTTCCGAGTCTGTGTCTCCCTCTTTCTCTGACCCTCCCCTGCTCGCGCGCTCTCGCTCTCTCTCTCTCTCCTAGAAATAAATAAAAATATTTAAAAAAAAAAAAAAAAAAAAGAGAACACCGAAGGGGACCTGGGTGGCTCAGCTGGTTAAGCATCTAACTTACGCTTAGGTCACTGACCTCATGGTTTGAGTTAGAGCCCTGTGTCAGGCTCTCTGTAGAGCCTGCTTCAGATCCTCTGTCCTGGTTCTCACTCTCTCTCAAAGAAACTAAAAAAAAAAAAAAAAAAAAAAAAAGTGGGGGGGAGCTCTTGGGTGGTTCAGTCAGTTAAACATCTGACTTTGGTGCAGGTCATGATCTTGTGGGCCTCTGTGTCAACAGCTGGGCGCCTGGAGCCTGCTCTGGATTCTGTGTCTCCCTCTCTGCCCCTCCCCTGTTCACACTCTGTCTCTCTGCCTCAAAAATAAACTTTGAAAGAATTTTAAAATAGGGGCACTTGGGTGGCTCAGTTAATTGGGTGGCCAACTTCGGCTCAGGTCATGATCTCATGGTTCATGAGGTCGAGCCCCACATCGGGTTCTGTGCTGATAGCTCAGAGCCAGAGCCTGCTTCAGATTCTGTGTCTCCCTCTCTCTCTCTGCCCATCCCCTGCTTGCATTCTCTCTCCCTCAAAAAAAGAAAAAGATAGATAAGTAAAATAAAACATTTTAATATACAAAAGTAAAGAAAAAAAGAGAACACCAAAATTTGTGTAAGCCTCACAAAATCAGAATGTGGCTCTGCATCCACCATGTTAACTACATGCTCCGGCTTCCTATTAGCAACAAATCTGCTAAATTTTCTAATCTCAGTCCTTCCTGATATAAAATTAACAGAAACAGCCTACTTGGGACTCACAACCCACTTCTCCAGTCTTCACTCCACCAATGGGAGTCTTACCTTACTAAGAGGAAGTGTCCCAGGCAGCGTAAGCCCCTCCTTCTCCAACAGCCTCTTCTCCTCATCTGTCAGTATCAATCTAGCAATCTCCTGTACCAGAAGGTAGGCAGCAGAGTTGCAAGTGGGTGTCAGAAAGGAATGTGCAATGTGGGCATAATCCCGAAGTAAATCAAGTCAAGTACCTGCTCTGCCGGCTCCTCCACATGCGGTGGAGTCGTATAAGGCCCCTCTTTTCCATACTTCTCACCATCTGCAAAAGGGAAAATTAATAAAGAGCCAGGCCCACAAGTCCTCTCCTCCCCCCAAACTTCATTTATTTCCAACTCACCTACATCTATAGAGACATGTTGCTGTGGGAGAGAGTAGGTGTGATCATGGTGGACTAGACAGGAATCAGAGGAGCTGAGAACGTTCAATGATGCTGGGGGACTCAGCAGGGAGCTCAGGAAATCCTCTACCTCCCATGCATTCAGCGCCTGCATAGGGTTCAAAGGAACAAGCCTTGACCTATTACTACCCGCTGCCTCACTGACTTCCTCCTCCCAGCCTCCGACCCGCCCCGTGCCTCGCGGGCTCAGCCCCCACCCACCTCGGAAAGCGGCTGTTCTGCCCCCAAATCTCCGCTTTCTTCTAGCAGGAAGTCCAGCAGGTCTTGGTCACCCAACTCCAATGCCAGCTCCATACCGGATATCTACGGGAAGGACGGGCAGAAACACAAGAGCTCACCCCTCCACCTGTCCGCAACTCCGAACCCGTCGCTCTCAATCCACACCAGCAGCCCCCAAGACCCGATTCTCCGCAACTTCCAACACAACGGAAGTGATGGGCCTACCCCCGAGGCATTCCGGGATTTGGAGTTTCCTCTGAAGCAGAAATGGCATAGAGGCTGTGCGCCACGTCCCGGGAGCTATGCAAATGGAGGGGGCGTCCCTGCTGTCTTCTCACACCCTCAGGGCGGGCATTCTGCGGAGCTGACTCCGCCTTGGCCCCAGGCTGAAAAAAGGAAGGGTTAGAAACTAAAAGGGAACTCAGGCGCAGTCGAACGTTTGGTCACGATTGCGCCGCACCCTTGCTTCCTGCCGGGGAGGGGCTGTCTGTCTTCGCCCGCTCCCGAGCATCGAGAGCTGGGGCCAGAGCAACTTCCTGCAAGCCCCGCAACCATAGAGCGCGGGCCCAGGGCGCCGCCCGCGGGTGGGGGACGTTCCGGGGACGGAAGTGGCCGCGAGAGTGTCGAAGGGAGGGCGAGGCCGGAGCCCGATTGCCACCGGGAGAACGAGCGGGTTAGCGGGCCGGCGGGCGGGGCACAAGCCGGGGAGCTCAGGTAGGCCAGACCGGGCCGAGCCCGGGCCTCAGGGTGGGGCGGCGAGGCCAGGCCCGGGAAGCGAGAGAGCTGGCGGGAGGGCGGGCGGGGCCCCTGACTCTCTTGCGTCTCCTGTTTCGGGTACTGTTGGAGTGGTCATCGTCCAGTCTATCGCGGCTTGGGATCGGAGTTAAGTAGACCGTTTTAAGGGTGCCAGGCCCTTCCTCAGATCAGTCCTCTGGGATAAGTTTTGGGGAGGGTGACGAGTGGGGTGGCAGTGAGGCGCAGGGCGGGGATCGGCTTTGAGGTTAGCTGATAGCGGGTGTGTGGGTAGGGAGGAAGCTTCGGGTGAGTTTGGGATTAGGTAGAGTTCGGTTTAGGAATCAAGGTTAGCTTTAGAAGATCTAAAGCTGGAGTTAAAGTTCAGAGTTACTAGCGTGAGTCAGGTCCGTTTTATGTAGGTATAGTTTGGATTAAGTCATTATTTTTGTCTTCTAGCCAACGTTAAGTCAACGTTAGAGTTCAGAGTTAAGAGTCAGCACAGGAATTAAGTTAGAAGTCTAGTTTTAGAGGTTAGAGAACATTAGTACACTACTAGAGGTAAATAAATAGCGAAGAGATGGGCCAGAATCCAGTGACAAAGGAGTTTAGAGTTAGGGATCAACATTTAGGGTTAAAGTTAGGGAACTTGGTGCTAGGTGTAAAAATTAGATCAATATTAGGGATCAATTATTGGATATGGGTGTCTGGTAGGAAAGGGATGAAAATTAAAGCTAGTGTTGGGAAACAGGAAACAAATTAAGGTCAGGGTTAATGTTAGGAATTAGGGTTAGTTTTTAGGGGAGTTATGGTTGAGATCAGGGTAGTTGACCTCAGATAAATAAAATTTAAGAGATTGGCAGTACATAGGTGCTCCTGTTTCGCAGGGAAGTCTCATTCCTGCGTGGTTGCAGAGGTCCTTTAGCCCAGAGATATGACAGACTAATTTCAGGTTAGGGTTCTGGGCTTCAGCTAGAATTGCAGGCATCTGGGATTCTCCAAGGCTTTTGATGTGGTCACCACAGTTGAGGGCCAGGGGTTCCTGTACTGTGTTGTTTACAAGGTAGGAGTTGGGAAAGGGACTGGGACCCAGGAGATGTACAAGGCCTAGTCATAAGAGGAGGCTGCTTAGGGAGAAGGGGCTATGATTAAGGGGCAGCCCACCAAGGAAACACTGCTGCCCTGGGAGAAAGAGACGACTGAATCCTCTGCCAGTTCAGCCCGACTGCCTCCCAGATCCCTCATTCTCTCGTTAAGTCCTCTCTCCAGCTCTCCTCCCTGGCCCTGCAATTCACACCCTCCCTGCATACCCCTTTTCTGCAAGCACAATCCTGCATACAGAATTCTCCCTCCCCGTAACTTTCCCATGTTGTTCATCTTACCCCCAGTTCCCAGCTGCAGTTCTGCCTCCCTTCCCACCCCTGAATCTTCACATCCTACCATATTTTGCCCTTTCCCAAATCTGAGCTTTTCCATCCTCTTAAAACTCTCTTCCATATTTTCACCCACTCACCCACCTGCATACCTCCTGGTCATCTGCCTGATACCCCAACCCCAGCCCAACATAACTATCAATTACTCCCAGGGCCTGCTATGTGCCAATCCCTGGTTCTAAGCGTCCTTAATTTCTTGGTCCAGTTATAGATCCCCTTCCCCCACTCCCCAGACAGAAAAGAGGAAACGAGACCCAAAGAGGAAACTGGGTCTTGCTTATCCCACGCCCAGCAAGGCCACTGACCACACCTCCGTTTCATTCCCAGCCTGACCCTGCCACTGACCACAACACTATCCCTTACCCAGTGTGACCCAGCCACTGGCCGTGCCCTATACCTACCCTGCCCCCCACTAACTCCAGCTTTGCTTAGACACTGCCATTGTCCCTTCGCTCTCCCCCCATCTCAGCCTTATTTAGCCACTGACCACAGCCCCATCTCTTCTCAGCCTCCTGCAGCTTGCTCTGGCCTCTGACCTTATTCTTTTATTTCCTGACTTATAATTATTTTTCCCCTTCCCCTAGCTTGATCCAGTGACTGATCATATATGTATTTTTCCTACCACCATCTTCCCCAGCCTTTCTCTACACTTTGTATTCCCCATTTCTAGTCCAATACAGTCACTAATCTCATCCCTTCTGCCCCTACCTGGTGCTAACCACATCCCCGTCCCCTGTGTCTCAGAGCCTCATCTTCATATACCTAGATCCACCGACCCTTTCCTTCCCAATTCCTTACCTAAACCCAAGCCACCCCAGTCACTAAGTGACTACTGATGACAGAAGCTGTGAGACCCCAGTCTGACTTTGGGCTCTGTCCCTAAAGGTTGACAGGACAGACTGTCATCGAGTCCTCTTAAAACTACAAATGACCAACATCCTTCTCTCCACCATTCTAACTACTGTCAATGCCTCTCACTTGTGCTAATGCAGTGTCTTTCTGACCAATCTCCAAGGTAACTGCCAGAGTTATTTTCCAAAATCCAGCTCTGGTTATGTCCCTTCCCTGCTCAAAGCCTCCCTTGACCTCCTGCTTCCCTCCAGTAGGTAAAATACTCCTTCCCTCCTAGTCCTCCCCTTCCGTTTCCACCCTGACCATGACTTCCCCGTCGCTGCTCCCTTGCAGGTAACCCTGTGCTTCAGCCAGCCTGCCTCCTCACTTCCCTGAATGCTCCTCCGCGACTTCCTGCTTCTCCATCTTTGCTTATGCTGTTCTCTCTGCCTGGAGTGCTAGCCCTGACTCACCTCCGGCTGGCATGGAGAGCTGGGGCTTTGGAGCCAGAGAGATGTGGGTTCAGATCCTGGCTTCACAACATAATTCGCTGTATGACTGGAAAAGTTCCTTGAACAAATATTTAACGTCTTTGCACCTCAGTTTCCTAATCTGTAAAAATGGAAATAACGATACCTACCTTGCCAGATTGTTGTAAGGATTAAATGAAATTATGTATACAAAGAAATTGACATAATGGCCAATAAAAGATAGATCGTTACGATTTTTTATTACCTTTAATAAAGTCCCAACTTCAGATGACACTTTTCATGGAGACTTTTTGGTCCCTCTTCTCTGACCTAAAGGGGTCTCTCCCTGAGCACACACCTCTTGACTCTTTCCACATCCTGCCTTATATTATAATTCTGTATTTAGCTTATCCCTTCAGCTGACTGGGAGCCCCCTGCAAGCGGAAGGCTAGGGCTTACTCCCCTCGCTTCCAAGTCACTGAGAGTTTAGCCCTACCTTTTCCACAGCAGACCCTCAGAAATGTTTATTGGATGAATGGAAGGAGAATGTCTGTGTAAGAGGAGGAGAGAGGTTGGGGCAAGTTGTTGGCTTACTAATAGAGGTGTGTTTGTGGGGAAGCTGTGTGTGTGGGATGGGGTCTTTACAGGAAGATAATGTGGTCATGATAGGGTCTGTGTAGGGACTGCGTGTTTGAGATAACATGTGTGGAGACAGTGTCAGTAGCTTTGTGGAAAAGCGCTCTGGGCATAGGCCGGGTGCCGGTAGGGAGAACGAAAATGCACGGTTAGGGTGTAGGCAGTGAGGGGCTATGCTGAGGGAGATCGGGTCTAGCCCTTCAGCTGCCCAGTCCAGCCCTAAATGAGCCTCCAGCAGCCCGAGGCCGGATATGTCAGTCTCACCCACAACCCCCCCCCTCCACCGCGGTTGCGGACTCAGAAGCCAAATTTGGTAACAGAGTGAGTGTTACTCCCCCAACCCTCATACTTCTGACTTTGTCTTCAGCTTTCTCTCTCCCTCGTCCCTCTCTATAGCTCCCTGTCTTTCCGTAGCTCCCCTTGTGGGTATCTGCTCTGACTATATTCTCCACGTACCCCAAATTCTTTACCCCCGGTACACTGACATTCCATTCCTTGCTGGGATTTGACCTCTTGTCCTCCATTTCCCCCCCCCCTCTCAATTGCCCAACTCCTCTGGAATGCATCTTAGGAATGTCTTGAGGGAGGAGTTGTTCCCTGGGAGGGGGGTATGGGGGGCATTGTTGCTGTTCCATAAAACATGATGGAAAGGGGAGCAAAGTTCTCAGGTCAGAGCAGGAACTAGAGAGCTTCTCCCCATACTTCCAAGGGCCTTGTTCTTTGCCCTCATCACCCCCCAGTTCACCCCTTATTTCCATTTCCCCCCTTACCCTCTGGTAGCTGTATGGGTGTCCACTCAGTACCAGCCTGGGAATAAGTGTAGGCATGACTCATCTCCCTTATCGGGGTCTCACCAGAGGTTTCCGTGAAGAAGAAGGGGGTGTCCGTATGTCCGGAGGAAATGGGGGAGACATGCAGTTTCAGCTGAGGGTAGAAGGTCCTTTCAGTCCTGCCCTCAGCTCCTCTGACTGCTCTACTTCACTGACCCTCCAGCAACCCCACAGCCAGGTCTGTCAAGCTCCTGGGAAGGTGGCCACAGAATGGGGAGGTGGGCAGAGAGCTGGAGCTGAGAAGACTGGAATGGTCTTATCTTGTTTGGAAATAAGGACAGAGGGCGAGCTGTGGTTTCTCTTGTGAGACTCTGGACTGTTTATAAGGTCAGCAGTGGTCTGTCAGATCCCCTGATCCACATCTTTTCCACAACCGCCTCTTTCCTGTTTCTACCTAGATTTTCAGTCCCCTTCACCTCATCCTTCCCAGCCTCTTTGCTCTCCAAATACCTCTCTCTTCCCAGCTTTTCCTGGTTCTCAACTGGCTTCTGTATCCCAGCACCCCCACCTCTGCTTCCAGTCTTCCCCCCAGCTCTGCTTTTCCCCACCTGGGGCCAGCAGTTTGCCTGGGGTGGGGGTGGGGGGGTGGATCGGCAGCTGACTTGCCCATTCGTAGTTGAGAGGAACCAATCCCCGTACCAAACTGGGTCACATCATTAGCTGCCAGGCAGACCGGTCCTCTTGTGCTCTGGGTGCCACCTGCAGGGGTTCCTCCAGCCTGCTGAGAGGAGGTGCCGGGGAGCAGGGGTGTCAGCAAGGCGCTGATATCACCAGCTGTACCGAAAATACCATCAAGGGAGGCAGTGAGACAGAGGGCAGAGTGTGAGGAGCACTTACTGAAGCGAGCATGAGAGGAGCTGTAGTGAGGACTGGGTCTTAACTTGGTGACTTGAAGCAAGGACGGAGTTAGAGGGACTGGGCTCTTTGACTTCCCTTGAAACTACCCCACCTGCCCCACCGTGGTCTGATCTCCATTCTGCAAAACTGGGGAGTTCACTAGGTAACTTCTGAGATCCCTCTGGATTAAAGAATCATAATTCTATCTTGACTACCAGGGGAGCCAACCACGGGGCCTGGCTCCTGGGGAGGGCCCCCGCTGTGTGAGGTTAGAGGAAAACTGGGACAAAAGCAGGCCTGGGTAGCTTGATCTGCCCGGTGTTTGGTCTCCTGGCCGGGCTAGCTCGAGTCCGTGTTTTCAGGCTTTAGGAGCTCTTGGGAATTCTCTCATGTAACATCCTCATTTTGCAGAGGAGGCTGAAGCTGTCAGAGGGGAGGTCACATGATGAGTCAAGGCAGAGCTCTGAAAATCCCAGACAGGAAAAAGCTAGCAAGACATAGTGGGAGACGGAGAGAAAAAAGACTGAACCAAGAAAAGATGAAAACAAGACAGAGGCAGGGCTGGGAAGGGAGTCGGGATAAGGGGCAGGAGAGAGACACTTGGTAGAAAGAAGGGAGGCACGGATTCTAGTGGTAGGGATGGGGCAGGGTCCTCAGGGAACACTGCATTTCAGACCTACTGTTGCACCTTGCAGACCGACTCTCCTTCACTTATCCTAGATGGTTAGGATTGGTTCTTTTGGTATAAATAATCTTTTACGCTTTAAAATTCTGAAATGAAACAAAAACAACCACATTACCGTCTGCTTTGGTTAAGTCCCTTTCAAAATCACGCTCCCTGGGGCTCCATCTGAGGGACCGCCTCTCCTCCTACGAGGGTGTGCTCTAATGCCCTGATACCACGGGCCAGGTGTAGGCATGCTGGAGAGGAGAAGCCGCCACCATGGTTGCACTTTCGCTGAAGATCAGCATCGGGAATGTGGTGAAGACGATGCAGTTTGAGCCGTCTACCATGGTATACGATGCCTGTCGCATCATTCGTGAGCGTATCCCAGAGGCCCTGGCTGGCCCTCGTGAGTCTGAGTTACCCCGGTGGCTAGGGTGGGAGTCTTCAGTCCCTTCTTGTTCCCAGGCTCTTGGCTTTAAGGGATGACCCCCTTGTCCCTCAAGGCTACTCATCCCTCAGGCCTATGCTCCGTGGTTCCCTCTCTCCCCTTTGGCCCACAGTCCCCGGGAAAACAGTTAAGGGGCAACAATGCAGCCATTCAGCCACACTGGGGTCCTCGTAGGTCTGAGGTGATCCATCTTCTCTTTTAGCCAGCGACTTTGGGCTGTTTCTGTCAGATGACGACCCCAAAAAAGGCATATGGCTGGAGGCTGGGAAAGCTTTGGATTATTATATGCTCCGAAATGGGGTGAGTATCACTTCATCAAGGACCATCAACAGCCTCTCCATCGACTTCCCCCACTCCACCTCCTATTTTCAGCACCCACTTCCATTGCCTCTGACCCGCTCCAGACTATCACAGGCAATCAAAGTATCCTGTTTTTGAATGAGCCACTGTAGTCTTACCTTGAGTAATCTACTTTCCTCCCCTCTGGCTATGGAAAAAGGAAGTAATACCTCTAGCTTAAAGTAGGCTCCTACATCCTATTCCCGGCCCAACAGGACACCATGGAATACAGGAAGAAGCAGAGGCCCCTGAAAATCCGTATGCTCGATGGAACTGTGAAGACTATCATGGTGGATGACTCTAAGACTGTCACTGACATGCTTATGACCATCTGTGCCCGCATCGGTAAGAGGTCCCGGTGGGGCTGAGGGCTCGGGGAAGGAGGCTCCACTCCACCAGAAAATGGGTGCGCTGCCTGGGATGCTACCAATCCCTCGCCCTCTCCCAGGCATCACCAACCATGATGAATACTCACTGGTTCGAGAGCTGATGGAAGAGAAAAAGGAGGAGGTGACAGGGACCTTACGAAAGGACAAGACACTGCTGCGAGATGAAAAGAAGATGGAGAAACTAAAGCAGAAGTTGCACACAGATGATGAGTGTGAGCAGAAATAAAAAAAAAAAGAGGGCACTGGAAAATGGGCAGGGGGACAGGGGGCAGCTGTTCATCCGTTAGTTACTGAATACCTGCTTCTCTCAGACACTGTTTTAAGACACAGGCTACATCAGTAATAAGGTTCTACACTCATGGAACTTATCCGTGAGAGAAGGTAGGAGATGAAGAACAAACAAACAGAAAGCTAGAGGCCAGGCAGCACAGGCGCCCTGGGGGCTGGGCATTGAGGGGACTCTCTGTGTCCCAGTGAACTGGCTGGACCATGGCCGCACACTGAGGGAACAGGGAGTGGAGGAGCACGAGACGCTTCTGCTGCGGAGGAAGTTCTTCTACTCCGATCAGAATGTGGACTCCCGGGACCCCGTGCAGCTGAACCTTCTTTATGTGCAGGTGTGGAGAGGATTCACCTGGGGGGAGGGAGGACTGGGGGGAGGAGCAGAAGCGCCACGAGGGTTATCCCTGCACCCACACACAACATTTACCTCCTTTTCTTGTGCTCTCCAGGCACGAGATGACATCCTCAATGGCTCCCACCCTGTCTCCTTCGACAAGGCCTGTGAGTTTGCTGGCTTCCAATGCCAGATCCAGTTTGGGCCCCACAATGAGCAGAAGCACAAGGCTGGCTTCCTCGAGTGAGTGACGCATATCCCACACCCTGTCAGGACCCAGGACTCCCTGCCATTGTGACCCCAACAGCCCTGCCCCCATCCCAGGCCTTCTCTCTCTATTTCCTCTTCTGAAGTACCAGGGTGTTTGACCCACACGGGTACCTGTTTCGCTGCCATCGACCATTTGTTTCCTCACTGGCCCCCTGTGGATCGTGAAGGTAGCCTAGAATCTTTGCCTCTGCCCCATACCTCCCAGGCAAGCATGTAGCTTTTTGAGATTCTCTGAAGAATTTTACTTAGTAGCCAGCAGGAAACAGTACATTTTTCCTCATAGGGAACATTAGACTTAGAAAGCTTCGCAGGCCTCATCCACTTAGAGTTCTCAGAGCGTAGAGAGTTCAGCACCGCTTGCTTAACTTCCTACATGCATGGTCATCCTTCTACCGAGCCCCTTCTGCTCTTGGTTCCCTGCAGTAGTGCTCTAGACCCTCTTTCCCTCGGGGACTGGGCCTGCAACTCAGGTTCCCTCGTCCCTTTCCCTGTAGGGAGAGACGCAGGCTGCACTCCCGAGCTAATGCTAAGCCACCTGGATTTCATAGACAATCCAGACTCTTTCCCTTGAGCTTCCTTCTCCCCAAAGATAACACTGTCCTAGACATTTCCTCACGTCCCTAGGCCCACAATCCATGGCCCACATACCCCCGATGCTGTCCACTACATGCTGACCCTCCCTTTTCTGGTGTAGCCTGAAGGACTTCCTGCCCAAGGAGTATGTGAAGCAGAAGGGAGAGCGTAAGATCTTCCAGGTGAATGGGGGCAGGGGAAAGTGTTTGGGATGCCCCGGGGGCTTTGCTGCTTAATCCTACTGACCGAATGGACCCCCCCCCCCCCGCCCCGGCCCCTTCCTTGTCTCCTCCCACCCCGCTTCCACCTGCCAAGCTGTTCTCCCACCTCTCCTGTGCCAAGAAAGCGGAAGACCTGGGCTTTTCATCTCAGCTCCATCACTGCATTTGCTGTGGAATTCAATTCAATATTCTTAGTTGTTTTTTCCTTTGCCTCTAACATGGGATGACAGTACCTGCCCTGGGTAGGATTGATAGGAGAATCAAATGAGATAGTATGCCTGAAGTTACTATGAAAAGCGTATCTTTGTACAAAAGTAAAGTGTTATCCCCACCTCTTGAACATTCAGCCCAAAAAGGCTTCTGTCTGACCTCTACTTTCTATCTGTTCATGTCTCCAGAACGTCTGCAAATTCTTTAACTACATTCCTTGAATTGTCGCTTCTGCATATCCTTGGTCAGCCCTCATCCCGTCACCCTCTCATTTCTCATACCCTGCACCCCTAACCTTTCCTGTGCCCCCTACGTACGCTCCCATCATAGTTAACGTCGCAATTCCTTGTCTGTGACACTATCCTCCCACATTTTGCTAAACATTTCCCCATTTCCTACCCAAGGCACACAAGAACTGTGGGCAGATGAGTGAGATCGAGGCCAAGGTGCGCTACGTGAA